AAATGGATTTGCCTTTAGCTATTTCACCATTCTAAGATCCAGTCAAGCATTTTAGATAGGTCAGAGTAAGTTAAGATTCTGAGATAGTACAACAAAGAAATGGTAATATAAATGCAGTTGATAATTAACAATAAAAATACTTATTTTTGATCTATCAGTTCATAGACAAAACAATACCAAAAAGTATTTTAAATTGAAGTATTTTATGTACATTGAATTCATTCACTTTAATAATGAATTACATTAAAAATTCAGTTTGATAAAGAATTAAATAATAATTGTATTTTTATAATACACCAAGCAGTTCATGAAGCTGGACATTTCAAAAGACTTGACACTAGCAACAATTGAAATATCCTGCAAAAAGGGAGAAGTGTGGTAGTTAGACACAGGGTTATGAATATATAAGAAAATCACTGTTAAAGCATTCTGTTTTAAAATATGTTTCAGTGTTTCAAAATCTGAAAGGGTGTAAGTACTTTTTTTTCCCAGAGAAGTGTAAGATGTGCTGGTCAAAGAAAGATTCAAAAACAGATGGGTTTGTTGAGCCCCGAAGAAAAACTGTCTATTCTTTGGATTGATGAAGACTCACTCATGTGAATATATTAGTCATTCAAGACTAAGCAGCATTTGGACTGCACAACTCCTTTAAAACTTTGTTTGCTGTGTTCAATGACTGTCGTTTTTCACACGTTGCTTTGTGCCACAAACCTTAATTTATACAGACTAAAAAAATCACTTGTCACTGTCAGTACTTTGTAGAGAGAACTCAAAGCAGATGTATTGTTGTGGACGTTTAATATTCTTAAGATGTGACTTTCCCCCCCTCAATCCTTTTTTCTGCTGTTCCGCAGCTATCCCGAGGACAAACAGTTTTGCTGCAGTGCAGGTGACCATATCTAAGGATTTAACATACCCATTAAGAGGGTTCAGTGCAGTTGTTCCTATTTAAAGGCATTCATTGTGCTTTATTGAGTATCCTAATGGGAACAAATACATCATAAGCAAGCAAATGAAGATTCAAATGTGCCTGCTTGTATTTTATATTTTATACTGTACATACCTGTACATACCATAGTATATAACTGATTTCTACGTGTTTCTATGCTCTGATTTATTTTTTGTTACAGGATGTGTCAGGTAAATAATTGGTTCTAGCTTTTATACAGTATCTAAGAGGTTTTAGTGTCATTTGTTTTCTGCTGTATTATAAATTCAGTGTCTGCTGATAATCTACGTTTTCTCATTTTTAGTGTTAGAGTTTCATTTGAAGTATTAATTGCTTAGTATAGCTAAAAAGCAGACTAAGTAATGAATTGTCACAGGTGACTTTTGGGGGAGACTAGCAAAATCTTACAATTTTAAATAATGCAAATTTAGTTGAAATAATTGTGGGGCAGAAAAGGACTAAGAAATGCATTAAAGACTAAAAAGGTAGTCTATAACTACATGATGGAAGTGAATTATTTTAAGTTACACATTTTCCCATGATGAGAAGCTTTCTATTTTAATAATTTAAACATAATGATTTTGATGAATTGCAGTGAAATCCAAAACACTGGGTCTTCAAATGCTGAAGCACATGATTGCGTTATCCAAGACTGTTTCTCCCCTATCTTAAGTGAAGTGCAGATCATAGCTACTTAATCAAAGCTTAGCCTGAAGAAAAATCTTGGCATGCAGATTTTGGATTGGTTTAAAAAATGTAAATAGTAAGATTTCTTTGGTGTTTCATGGAGCTTTTCTGCTTAAATCGTATTTTGTACTCTTCTTATCATATATACAATAATGTAAATATTTAATCATCTTATTTTATAAACTGACAGTATAATATACAGTACAGTATAAATCTACGCAAACTTGAAACTGGCATGACATGGAATTAATTGCAGTAGTTGTGTATGTGAATGTAACAATGCCTCTTTTAATTGTATTTGGTAAGCAAAGAAAAAAAAACATGAAACAATAAAAAATGCCATTTAAGGTAATGTTTTTTTCATACGTTTAGACTGGACTTGCGTGTGTGTATGTGACTTACAAACTAGTTTGTTTTTAAAAATGGCTTTGTGGGGAAACATGAAATTACATTGTGGTAAGATGTGTGTTTAAGCTCTAAACAATTTCTCACACACCTTTTAAAATTATTATTTAACTTTATGGCATTACCATAAAAAAACTACATACTCAAAATAAATACACATTAAAAACAAACAATAGTTCTAGCCATACAATAATACTTATACACATCTTGCCCTGCCCATATTCATTACCTCATTACAATAACCTGGTAGTGTCATACAGGAAGTCATTTAGCTGAGTTTAATATACCAAGATGAGAAAATGAGAAGGTGAAATTAATATGCCTTTAATTTAGGTAAGTATGTACTCCCATGGAAGCTTCTATGGGAATTATTATGTAAAAGAAGCTGCCTCATTTTTTACATTATTAAGATGCTTCATTAATTAGCTTGTTGTTTCTAATGGAAATCAACATTGCAGTTTTGCAATTATTTAGTGACATTAAGAATTACATAGAGATGAGAAGTCTTACATAAATAATTTATGGAATGTGTAAAAAGGCTTATCTTTTTAAGATAATGCAATATTTTCATTACAGATATCTTTATGAGATCTTTTTAATCAAGTATTTCTACAATTTGGGAAACAACAATTTGGGAAATAGAAATAAAGTAAAATTGCATTTCACCCTCATAAACTGAATTGAAAACACTCTACCACTTGAAAAAATCTTTGTTTTCTTGCTTAAGCTGCTGGCAATATATTAGTAAACCCTCAACTCAAACAAATTCAAATGACTTGTTTATTGTGAATAATTGAGAATATGAAATTTGTCATTAACATACTCTGATAATTTTGTTGGGCAAAGTTTTTTTTTTTTATTTCCTACTCTATTGAATGTTTCATATGCAGTAATAAACAGAATTGCCATTTACTTTCAACTTAGTTTGAAATCCTGCACTGTTTAATTTTTGATAGGTGTATCCAACAAGGCAGAGATAATTAAAATTAGTTTAAAATGGCATTAAATGTCATTCAGCTCATCAGTTGCTTCTTCGCAATCAGTATTCCACAGTGCTCCCCAGTCCTTGATTAGCACATATATTTATTCTCAAGTGAGTTTCCATCAGTAAGCTTGAGATGGTAAACGGTACCTGTGGAGGCAATATCTTGAGACAATTTATTCGAAATAGCAGCAGCTTAGAAAAGGGATGATTGACCTAGTTTAGTCCCAAGCTTAGTTCGCAGACAAGTGGATGCGATTTGCCTTGGATAACAAATGAAAGACTTTGATTTCCATTTTTAATGAAGGTAAAATGCAAGATTCTTGAACAAAATCTCAATTTTTTTTCATGGACTTGCATACAAAGCACTACACATAAATATAAAATAAAAAAAACACCTGTAACTTAATGATTAGTTGTTGTAATTATTATTATAATTTTGTTAAAATAATTGTTATTAGTGTCAATAGAGTTTAAATTGCATATTGCTGCACAATAATTTTAAAAGGTTAAGGAAATGAGCCTTTTGATTTCAGGAATTTAATTATGGAATTAAGTTGTTTTAAGTTTAACATCTGTATAAAATGTTTTCGTTTCCTGCTAAGATACCTATTTTGCTGGACAAATTAGCCTAGCCTGCAGTTGCCTTCTGTTCAGTGCATTCCTTCTATCCCTGTGTGTCTGCTATGGTCTTTACAGCACCCCTTCACAGCAGCTACCAAAATCTCTCAATTGCCTTTAGTCTGACTTGTGTATGCAGTACCATTGTCCCCACAGTGAGCCTCTTGAGCAATGTCATTGTCAGTTTGATTAATAAAGGCGAGCAGTTCTCATGGCCCATCTCTGCCAGTTATTTTTTGGTACTGAATGGTCCCACAGAGTAGCTTTTTGTACTTGCTAGTTAATATAGGCTATTATTTCATTTAGACAATAAAGGTTTATATAAATTGAGAAGTTCTCAACCCCAAAAACCTTCCTGATAAAACAAGTTCTATAAAATACAATGATCTCTAATTTACCCTTAACTGCAGCTGTGAACATGTCAGGTTTAGGTTCATTTTTCCTTCAGTCCTTTTCTATAATATTCTGGGAAGCTTGAGGAGCTCAGGTTTGGTTCAGTTTACATCAGTGTCTTGCTGGTTGGTTTCAAAAACATCTGTTCAGGTTAAGTATGATTCCATTAGTTATGGGGAAAGTTCCCTTGTTCTCCTTCACAGATCCACCAAGTTTTCTCTGAGAAATTTGGTTTTCTGAAAGTTATCCATTGGGTAGTGTGAGTGCTTGTTTTCGTCTAGAGGTAATAGAAATGTTACTTCAAGCATTCAGCTATAAATGAAATAAAGCAGGAAAGCAAATCTACCTAATCTGACAACAAATTCTTGTTTTTAGTCTTCAGCAGTAAACAAGTTTTGATTACATGGCAATATAAATTTGCTGTTTTTAGTGTTTGTGCTTTTATATTGTGTTTCTGAATGGGTCTTTTTCACAAAGCTAGATATTGGATGGTGTTCTAATGTGCACTGTTTTTCCTCGCATTGTTCTGTGGTCCTTGGTTATATGATGTTTCTATTTAGTTGCTGTCCTTTGGATTACAACTGTTGAATTGCCTATTAAATTTACTGTCCCAGTTTTTACACCTGGGCACCTTATTCAGTGGGATCTTTAATAGTAACACTAGTAATGTTCCCGACTTTTGTTTCATTTTAAATATACATATTTATTGTGTATATTGTTTTTTATTACTCAATATACACTTTCAGTATATGCAGGCATAGCTGCCCCTGTGTGACATCAGTGTAGTTCTAATAATAATCATTACTGTATGATCACTTGGCATATACTAATTTTTGTTGTATTAACATGATAAACCAAGACCTATATATAGTAACATTATTATTTTTTCTCAATTTTTAAGCAGTAATTGATGAAAAGCTTTAAAATGTTGTACGAAATCATGTTTTGTGTGTTTTTTTGCAGACTTGTTCCTAACATCCACAAGCTCTGACATCTCTGACATTAACTATTTTGAGACATGGTTGAACAAGGTACTTGTACATTTCCTTTATTTTCTACTTATGCTACAACTTTGATGACAGGATTTTGCAGTAGTCCTTGCCAAGGACTGGGTTCTGTGCATGGCTTTCATGGGCTAGTATGCAGTTAGATGTTTCTTCTTTCAACAGTGTTAGCAAATCGAAATTAATACATGATTAAAACATACATTTTCCATACATTGCTGACATTCCACAAACTTATTTTCGTTCTAACTCATATCTGGAATGCTATGCCAGATGTCTGTCATTTGGTTGCACTTGAATGCTGTGACATTCAGAAAGGCAAGAACTGTGGAATAAAACTAAAGAAAACTCTGGAAAGAGTAAGACAATAATTAAGAAACAGCTAAAGGCCCTGTAATTTGTTTTAAGACATGTCAGGATCTTTATTAAAACTCTTTTGGTCATTTCATTTCTCAGCAAGTTACATGCCTTTGATGTTGATGGAAAATAAAATATCTGTAGCTTCATTATGAAACTGGTAATCTTGTTTGTGATGTCCTCAAGGTGAAACTAGCTTTTCCACATCTCTGGAGCAATATTTTTGATTCTGATCTCTGGGTATATAATTGGGTGTGTAATTAAAGGGTATCAAGGGCTTACAGATAATTTAGCCTGAGTGACCTTTTATTTTAGACAGCTTTTGGGATGAGCAATAAATAACCAGCATCAACTGGCATCTGCTTTAGTTAATTATGTGGCTTTACGTTGCATTTCAAAAACCTGCTTTGTTGCCAGTTTCTAAAGGGAAATTTGGATGTTCTGAACTTTTTTACAAGTATTTTTTCTGTTGTTGTAGCTATAAAAGAGTCTGTCATTTTAATGTATTTTAATTTTAGTTTTCTCACATTCCCAGAGTTGTTTATTTACGTATGTGAGTTTTTTGTTTTGTTTTTCTTTTGTCAGTCAGGGTTTTAACTGGATTTGCATGGGTCTTTACTTAATCCAAGAAGAATTCACTTATCTAAAGAAACTACTTTATTTCTTTCATTTGTCCCCCCCCACCCCCCCCTTGATAAAAAGGATACATATAACATTTGGATTCTAAATGCTGCTACCATAAATCATTGATCAGTTAGGTTTGCACAGGCAAAATAGATTTATATTTGCAAAAAAGTCAAAGTCAAAATGTCAATAATGTGGAGTATAATTTATGCAAATTTGTTTGTGTGATGCACTTTTTAATAAAAGTAATATGGAATCTGCTTTCTTTTAGAAGGAATATCTGAATTACTGAAATTTTGTCTCTTGTGCAACTATCCTTGAGCATCTGTTAATCCATTTGCATTAAAATATAGAATCAAATTGCAGAAATGGTCTTGAAAAATCACGGGGAAATGCATAATGCATCAGAAAACACTGAAAATAAAAGAAAATATCTGTTGTAAACAATACTTACAGAAACAGTTCATTCACACAAAAAAGAAAAATTGAAACTGATGAAAAACATGGAAAAGATCTGTTTTGCATAGAAATTCCCCCTTGGTTTAGAAAAAACAATGCATTAGGAATTAGGAAAAAAATCTAAAGGTCACTTTTAATATTGTTTTTTACAGTTTGGATTTTTTTATCTTTATTCAATTCTGATGCATTCTGTTGTTTGGTAGTGAGTCACCAAGATTAAGAGAAAATATTGTATGTGCCAAGCTAGTAATATGCTGAGTGTCTGCGATGGTCTTGTCCTCTTTCAATCCCAACATTACTGGCATGTTTATTACATGTATTCTATATATGACATCAATAGCTCAGATTTAGATCACCATGTCATATAATCTCAAAAGGCAGGTTTATGTGTATTGCTTTTCAGTGCTGCTGTCACTTGGATAAAGGTCAGAACTTGGTTTGCTGGTACCAAGCCATGGAAGTCAGTGTTGCTGTCCCCTGCAGTGCTTCAGGGCCTTAATGCTCCAGTGCATGCTCAGTGTATGCACAGATAAATTTCATTTACACTCACGATCCACGGTGTGTTAATAAAGGCACCCAAATTTCATTTCAAGAATGCACAGACTATTTGATATGAAATATTTCAAAGAAAAGGTATTGGCTGGTGTGGTAACTTACAGTAGGAATCAGTAAATGTTCACCTTTTCTACTTGGGGACCATTTCGTGTGAAAACAGAAATAAGGTCAAATCAGTTAAAGCAAATATATTCATTAATAACTCAAAATAATTACTTGCTTTTAAACTTTTAACATCAGTTAAATACCTGTGTCATAGAAATTAGTTGGCTTATATTCTGAATAAAAGGCAGCCTTCATTATCTACCTGTTTTTGTAGTTCTGATTGCTAAGCTCTGAGTAAATAGCATTCCTGCTGCTGGCACTGTGAAATGCATTACAGATCAGTGCAGAGTCAGTCCTGCTGGTAGTTCTACATATCTTTGATTCTTTTTTTGCATTTAATCAGTGTTGAACTGGGCATTGCAGCTTTTGAATACTGAAAACATGAACTGAGAACTCAGCTCAAAGCAGTCTGTTTGTCTACACACAAGTGTATGTTATTTAGGAATACAACCTGTTTATTAGATGCTGAAAGGCAAAACTGTTTCAGTTGTTTCATAATTTTATTTACCCCAATTTTCCATATGTTACTAAACAGCACTATTACTTCTTTTGATGGCTTACATGTGTTGGGAGCTAATTTAAATGAACAGGAACCCACATGAATGCTTTCAATATACTAAAATGACCTGGAGTGAGGAATAATAAGAAAGGTTTAAATGAGACTGGATGCTGCTGAGGAGGATGGAATAAAAATATGAACAAAAAAAAAAATATTTTAGCAGGAAAGTGAAATGTTTTTCATAAAGAGACTAAAGATCATCACTGTCTAAAATATAAAACTATTAAATTGTTCAAAAAGATTTAATTAGTTTATTTCCTTGCTTTAAATAAAATATTCTTTAAATAAGATTAAGCCATTTAATTTACATTTACTTTTTGAACATGAAAACATGTTATGTGAATGTCCATCACAAAAATATGAAATTGTTTACAACTTTTGTAAAATAAAATTATTTGTAAAATTATATATTTGAAATAAAATAATAACGCAAATGTTCTATATTGTTTAACTATGTGAATCTTAATGGAAATGATTATATACTTCATTAGGTTATACATACAGTATGAACCTCCAGACAGAGCTGGGCCATTTTCATATGATCTTGCCCACCAAACTTAGGATGTATTTTCTTTTTTTCAGAAATATTTTAAAATTATATCCTCCCCATGAAAAGATGTATTGTTTCTGTATTTTGTACTTTAAAAAGCAACATTCATTATTGTATTACACAATTTGTGATATTAATTAAAAATAATAAAATTGGATTTTAGTAATGTTCCACTGCTAATTGGTTCTCTTTTAAATGGACACCCGTTAATGCTCACCAAATTGAATTAGGCCAATTAAAACGATACAGCTTAGGGATTTAAAATTATGTATGGGTGTCCATTGCTTAATGTATATTATGTAATGTACATGTATATTGCATGCAAATGCAAATGAGATTAGACATAATTTTTATATATGCAAACTGTGCCTTGCAAAACTATTCAGATCCTTCCTAGAGTTTCCCATTTTTTTAATGATGCATACTATTTTTATTATTTAATATTATATTCACAACCTGCATGGTCAAACATGCTCAAACGTATAAGGACTTATAAGTTTAAGATACGTTATTTATCTGGTGGTGTCCCTACTTGTTTGATCATTTCAGAGGGACAGCCTGGTCTAGACAGTGTTGTGGTTAGTAAAATGCACGTTACATTTCTTGACGATTGAGTAGTTTGTGCTCACAGGGATATTCAGAGACTTCAACATTTATATAGTTATAAAATCAGTGACTTTATCCCTTACTTGCTCTGAAATCTCCTTAGTGTTCATGATTGCATCTTTTACTCGATATTCAATACCTGACCAGGGAACCTCACAGAGACAGGTGTTTTATTCTGAAACACAATAATTACACACAGGGTGTGTGGCACAAAATCAACTAATTGTTGAACAGATTTAAAGGTAATTTTGAGCTCCTAAATTCATTTTGTGGTTTGAATATGTGTGAAATTGTGACTTTTCCATTTTTCTTTCATATTTTCTGTTTACTTCTTTATCCTTTGAAAGTGAATTTGTATACAGTATGTTACATTAATTTCTTGTTCAGAATGATTTGGCTGCAAGTTTTAAAGCAACAGAAAGTGACAGCTGTGCAAGGGTCTGATTACTTTTGCAAGGCACTATATATGAGTCTTTACTGTATATTATAATATGTGGATTGACATAATTGTAGACAATTTTGTGTAAATTATCTGTCTTTCAGACGTATGTTACAGCAAAACTGTATATTCCATCAGAGATAAATGTGTTTCTATGTAAATAAAAAGGAAATCTCAATCTGAAATAGTTATTGATTGTCTAGGTTCCAATTCAGTATTCGTAATGACAAACAATGGTTTCTCAGCACCTATCTTCTTGTGTAAAAATCAATTAGCAATCACTGCTTTTTATTGTGTTGCCTAAAGAAATCATCCAAGACTGTGCCATCATTATGTTACTGACTATTTTATAGTAGGCAGTATTACAGAATAAATGTTCAGTCCTCTGTTCTTCAGCAGGGGCTGCTCTGCTAACTGTGCCTCACAGTTCCCAGCAGTACATCGGTTGGATAATTGATTGAAACATTTGGTCCATCATAGGTAGTTACCCGCGGTTATCTTCCCCTCTGATATCAAGCTGCTCGATCTCTGCAATCAGTGAGAACAACCAGCACACTGAGCACATGCCTTCCATCACAATCAGCTGCCGCTCATCCATTCTTCATCACTGCGGGTGATTCTGTTGGTTATTTTTTGAGCTTCAGGAGCTACTGTTTCATGCCAAAGCCATTTCGGTAACATTTGGAATATAACAAAGAATGATTTTAAGTTCAGCTTCCATTGTAAATGAGATTTTTTTCAACATTTTATTTATATGCATACTTACAGGTTTCCAGTCTTCATGTAGCACTTGTACCCAAATAACGTTAGCAGGGAAGTGTTTCTAACAAAATCCCTTTGTCTTCTAGTGTATGCTAAATTCATAATGATTCAAATACTAAGTATTTCCCTGCAGGAATTCTTAAGCACTGAACAGTGCACCCCAAAAGTGCTTATTGTGCGGTTGAATACTAGCAATATGAAATTAATTTGCTGCAATAAAGTCACAGCACATTTGAAATCTTTAAAATACTTTGTCATAATCTATTGATATGACAGTGCACATTGATGGCAGTCACATCTTCTAGTGATGCAGATATTAAAAGAAAACAGTTCAACTTCTTACCTGTTTTTTTTCTTCTGTGCCTTTTGATAAGACAGCCAAAGGAAGTTTGATTTGGTTAATTAAATTTTTAAATCATCATTTGTTATAAGATTTAGTTATGGTCTAATAGTAAATCCATGATTAAATGTTTAACATTAATGCTATATGAGTGAAAATAATGTGATTTGTTTTCATCTTATACATTCAGTTTAATTAACTTTAGTGTATGGTACAGCATCTGTAAATCCTGTCTATAGTGGAACAAAGTTAAGTGTGTAGATACAACTAACTGAAGGTCAAGTACTGTATCACTGTTAAATAAAAGCTACCACAAGAAACATAATGAGGACTAATTGTATTTATCTTTAATGTTAGGCAGAAGAGTAATGTTCTGAAGAATCTTTATACAGTAGCTATTTTCAGTATAACAGTGCCCTGTTGTTCTGAAATGGTCTATGTTCTCTTGTATTTTTCATGAATCAGCGTTAAGTTAAATGGTTGTGGTTCAGTATTTAGTAGACGTTTACATTGGTTGACTTACATGACTCTTCAGTTGATTTAAGAGAAAGGATGTGGAACATGGGATTAACCAAAAGCTCTGATTAGAGCATAAGAAAGAATGTTTATCAAGTTGTAATAGGGTGAAGGGTAAATTGTGACAAAAGCACACATTTGGAGCGCTATGTATGGCACAAGCAGCCTTTGCTGTCAAGAATGAAATGTATCACATGGTTTTATACATTCAGTGGTGGAACTTTATTTTGAAGGGACTTTCAAGATTCTGCACGCCATAAGGCAGGAGTCTTGATGTTTAAAGTCGAGCTGTAGTTCACTAAAGAAACGCTGCACATGTCTGACTGTGTGACAGCTGAACTGTGAAATCCTCCCTCTGAAAGATAGGGCCCATGACATATCCTAACAGCAAGGGAGTTCTTCTTATAGGTTAACTAACTTGTTGTCCTTGAAGCAAGACACACTGTGTGGCAGCACTCTTCAGCTTCCAGAGATATCTAACCTGCACTGCTTGTTAAGTTTTATAAAGCACTTAACTCTTTTGAACCCGAGTGTGTCTGTTTCAAATACATTTCTAATTACATCTGAAAAGATTTCTGAAGATTCAAGAAAGCACAATTGTGATGTCTTAAAAAAAAGTTTATTCTGTTACAATATTATTCTCAGCCTTAACTAGTAAACAAAATTATTTAAATATTTTCAATGAAATACTAAATTAATCTTTAGTAAGATAAAGGGTGTGACTATTGATTGTGTATTACGGATGCTACTCATTAAAATATTCTTGTTTTAAACTAGGATGGGAACTTCTCCAAAACCACCATATTGAAAACTCCAGATAAAGTGGCTATCACTGGACAATCAGCTTTTGCGGACTTTGGTAAGATTGTTCTTTCTTTGTTGTACAGTATTCATTTTACTTCATTTTCACATCAGTTCTCTTTCCCATTTCTATTAGATTTTATTGAAGAAATTTAATTCAGACTGACAGTAAAATCTGCACATACGGGCCAGAAATCATCTTGATATTTTTCTTAAAAGAATATTTGTCTGCTTTTTTGGTCTGTGTAGCAACCATTTTTGTCATAACCTCCTTAAAAATATCCCAATTTCAAAAAGCTTGTTTTGTCTCCTTTGATTTTTTTGCATGTCTGAGATGAAGATTTAGCACATATGAAACATCTTCAGCTTCAGCCACCCAATCTCTATACCTTTCACATTAACAAACATGCTTTGTATTTTCCAGTGGTTAATTTGTTACCAGAAGCTAATTCTTTACTACTGCAAATCATGAGCTATGTTTCTTGTGGTGGACACAAGTGTACTTTCAGAATTAACAATGCAAATTCAACTAATCTGAATACATAATGTCTTGGGAAATACTGAAAGGTTGGTATTTAACAGCACTTTGGAAGCGTATAATTACTGTAATTTAAATAATTGATTAGAAAGGTGAAATGGTAAGTAAAAAAAAGCTTTTCCCTGTTTGGATTTTGGCCTTTTGTTCAAAGCACTTGGTTATCTAAGCAAACAAGGACTCTTCATTATTATAATCTGTTATTTTCTGTGTCACTATGGAAATTTCATTTCATCGGTTACCATGGTTAGGATGATCAATCCTCAGGAGGCTGTGTATTTTTAAGAGAGGTGTTTCTGAAGAGGAGCTAAACAAAGGCTGTGGGCCAAGGTTTTAGATTTCATTTAGCAAAATCTCATTCTTGGTATAGCTTTTAAGTTAAACAATGGCAGTGTTCATAAGCAACAATGCAAGATAAGAGATAGAGCTTAATTGCTTTTTGTCTTGTTTCTGAACCAAGCACTTTTGTTTAGGAGTCTAATTTTCTTAACTTACATAATCATTCCCTTGTTATAAAAATGCAGTTAATTATATGGGCCTATGGGCATAGTTAAATAGAAGGAAGCCATTCAGTCAGTTTGACATTTATGCACTGTGGCATTTATTCCATGTTAAAGACTGACGGTTGAACTTGTAATTTAGGACACCTCATGACAATTTTATGGTAAAAACTTCCTATCACTTGTATGTTAACACTTCTGTCGGGGAGTCCCATATTCATGTAATAATAATGTCGAGGTCTTCATTGCTGTTTTACTGTTCAGTTAGATTAAGAAAACGGAATCTCTTTTCAAGCAACCTCTTTTCATGTAAATCAGTTGTAAAGAAGGCTGTAACATTGTAATGTTTTCGTCTATATTATTTTTCTTTCCTGAAATATGTAACATATTTCTGTTGCCTGCTATTTATGTGTTGGAAGATTGATTAGCTGTACATCATTTATGTTTTAAGGGCATAGTATGAAACAGTAGGATATAGGTGTAAAATGAAGTTAGTTGATTTTAGTCCGTACATCCTATGTAATCATGCAGGGGACGTCTTTGCTCAATTATGGAACCAGGAATGGGTATAGGTATCTTAAATTACTGCTGATTTTCTACATTGCTTTTAAGACAGTTCCTAGATTAATAAATGCAGTGCTGGCCAAAAGTATGACATAAGAGATGACCAAATACACATTTTAACATCAGTATAATTAATTTATTAGTTTACACAATTATTCTGCGATAAAAACAACAAACTTTGTTAGTTAATTTTAAACATTGTTTTTTTTTTGCCTGTGGAAGTAAATTTCCTCTTGTTTTAAATAACCACATAGTCTATGCTTCTAGCTGTAGACAGCATTTTTTCTGAATTTGTGGAATTCCAGCACTAATCAGAGTATTAATCTCATAATGCATTTTTCTTTAATTTTCCTTTGATTTTGATCTAAAATCTAGGTCTTTGGTTGGTAAGTGATTTGAGAACCTAAGTGACCAGATTATGTTCTGAAGGACACAATGGTCTCCTTGTATTTTCAATAGCATTTCAAAATAGGATGCATTGTCACCTGATATTTCTCTTTATTTAGAATTGTAAAACAAGAAAGACTTCCTTTTATATAAACCCGTGGCTTACTCTGTTCAGATTTTCCTGTTTTTACCTGATGAGCCGAAGTGATCATTTTATTTTTGTGAATGTCATGAAAGTGATTAACAGATATTAAGTGAAGCATATGTTGTGATGTATCTCGCGAACGTATTTTTGTACCTTTGGATGTCTGCTGCCATGCAACACTATTAATCATCTGTATCAGGAGCGATGCACCTTTACTGAAGATCACAGCAGGGGCTTCTTACATTTCCTTAGGGATCTGTCCAATCCATAGGTCTCACTCAAGTCAAGTTATAACTCACCTGAAGTTGGTTTATGGGTCTTTGCAGCAAAATAGCTAATCAGTGTAAATCATTCAAGTTAATGGACTGCTCTCAGTGATGTAGTAAAGCTTTGTACTGTTCGAAGGAAGTTAAGACTGTGGTACATAAAAAGGGTATAGGTATTTTTGGAAAACTGCTGAGTTTGTGAAACCATATTTGTTTATAGGCACTTTCGGTGTGGCAGGAGGGTAGGGTTCCTCGGATAGGCTTTGCATTTAAAATGATTATTATTGATTTCCTGGTATTCAAAAAACCAACTCCTTGGGTCATGTGAAAGCCGAGACAGAAACATCTAGGGGCTGAAGGGAATGCAGTGCACTGTGCTGCATGCTTAATGATTTATGGGGCTCTGCGTGGAATGTATGGATTGTGACAGGGATGTAAAAAAAATGTTGGAATACTGTCTTGTAATTAAGATGAAAAAAATAAATAAAAAACAAATGTCCAAGTGGTAGAGAGCCATGTGACATTTGAACCTTTACTGAAGCTTTGTTGGCTAAATGAAAGAAAATCTTATTTGTTTTCCTAGACCTTTTATTTCTTGCACTACTTGCAGTGGATCATTGCCTTGTATCCCCTAGTGGTTCTTTCTCTGCATCACTTCATCCAGTATAATTATAATACCTTATTCTGGGGCACAGTTGCAGATGATGTGTTTTGCTAAACTTAACCAAAATACAGAACAAAACAATTGTTTTTTAGTTAAATTGTCTTAATAAAAGAAAATAGAAAAATCAGCTCAGGTCTAAATTGGGATTATGAACTCAATCTCTGTAGTGAAATCATAGATATAAGAGAATTGGCATTGGCAGAAGGACAGCAGATACAATCCACCTCTATTTTTTAAGCCACTTTCAGACATGCAGTTAAGGTTTTCTAAAAGATTTCATGTTTAACTCAGTTCCTATTTATGGTTTGAAAAGAACAATTATAACATCTTATTTTGATATCTTGATTTAATTATAATAAATATGAAGTAATAGTACATTGGGCATTTTAAGATGATTGTTGCACTAAAAATTTAAAGTATGTAGAACTTCTTTATTTAAGACCAACGTGTCTAGCTGTCCAAAAAAGCCAGAGCCCAAAGAAAAATATTTACCAAAAGGCAGAGTGTTCTTAGCTGAAATTCCAGGTCACTGAGTGACCATGCCTTCTTCTTGTCCTGAGTGATTCTAAAACTCTTAACTTAGTTCTTTAATATTTCATAAATAAGGCGTGAATGCAAAATGTAAATGCATGATATATATTGTACTATTAATTTTGTCAGTCCTTGATTATAATAATAAAATATTACTGAATATTTACTTTGAAAGGCAGAAAAACATCATGCTTAATAATATTCAAAACGGTTATTTCATATGAATAGCACTGCTTTAATGAAAGCTTGAAAATACAATTTAAACTTTTTAAATCTATTTTAAAACCCTTAAACAGATATGTTAATCAAAATAATAAGAACAGTAACTTTGTTTAATTATAAAAAACAGTTATAAACCCTCTGGACAGTAGTTTGTTGTTCAAGATGATTATTTTCTTGAATATAAACTAACATTTTAGAATATATTCTTACCTCTTTTTGAACCCTAACTGTGCATAGTTTCTAGCAGGAAGAAATATCACTGCCAACCTACATATATTTGAGAGGGTTGTAGTATACATGCATTTTGTTCTCAGTTCATAAACAACAGAGAAATACAGTGCATATTGACTTATACATACGTACACAGGAAATAGACCTGAATTAATTAGTATTAGTTGAGGTTGATTAATATGTATACGATGATGAATTTTGAAGTAGCATTTGTTTTCCAGATAACATTTTAGTCTACACTTGAAATTCAAACTGTCTGCATGTTTACTTGCACATTGTCTATTGTTTGTTTGTACATTGTCTTGATGCACTGTTTGCACTTTGTTTTGTTTTTTTTACACTTGTTTGACAATCGAGAGACTTTCTGTAAGTAAGAATTCCATTGTGCCAGCACCGGTTACATATGGCAATAAAGTTTATAAAGTTCAAAGTTCAAATGTTTTACGAACAATCCATCATTGTTGAGTTTTGGAGGTTGTAATTAACGTACCATTCTTCATTTATCCATTAACTAAATTTCATTAACCTATGTGATCGTAAGACTGAAGACTGAAATTATTCATCTGTTCATGGTCTTGAACCACTCTTTAAAATATTGCTTTTTTATTAATTAACAATTTGTTTAGTTATGTATGTAGGCCATTTGTGAGACCCCTCTTTATGGTATGTTCTTTAAATACCAATCAAACTAAATTTCAAGACTAATTACTATTAATACAGAGAACTTCTTCTTTTGAAAAACATGGATTTGATCTCAAGGGATCACACAAAAGCAGATTCTTTCCTTTTAAATGTAAAAGAACTTAAACTTCATACAAAATGAAATACTATATTCATACAAAGTGTGAACAAAGTGATGAGTCCTTTAGACAATGTGATGTTTGATGTCCATTTAAAATTATTCCAGGCACACTTTCACAAATTCCTGTGTTTTTTTTTTACTTCTTTTTATGCCACTGTAAAGAATGCTTTCAAAACCTATTCTAAAATGACCTTCCTCTGAGGATGCACACCCTTCTCTTATTGCAGGCAGAAAGAGTGCTGCAATTTAGAGAAAGACCAAAACTTTTTGAACCACTTCTACTACCTGAAAAAAACAGAAATATACTCAACCTTCAATTTTATTTTTTATTGCCCAGAATCAACAAGGTTGATGTACTCCTAAAGACTGCTGCTTCAATTAACATGAAGGATTGTTAGGAGTCTTGCATCCTCCAAACTCAGCAAATGGGGCTCTCATAACCAAGTCCTCAACAGCAGAACAGGCAAAACATGTTCCACCTTAAATATCTCAGTGGATGTTCTGACAGACCAAGGCTGCAGCAGAGAGACCTCAAGCATCTTGGTCTGCATCATTTTGAATCACAATTGCATTCTGTCAAGATGTGTGGAAGATGGTGTTCAGTGGTTTCTCCACAAATAGCAGATGTCATACAGAGACTTGTTCCATCCCTAGCACATGGTCCAAGCCCTTTGGTGACCAGCTAATGGTGACCGAAGAAGGTCAGTCATGTCTAGAAGCTCATAGTCATGATCTGGGAGCTGTTACAAGAGGATTGTCAAGGCCTTGAGTTGAGGCTGAAGTGCATTTTGGCAGCTACAACTGTGACTGTGCAGCCCTTCTGAGGATCCACCATGCTCAACCATTCTGGGGGCGAGGCTAGAAAAGGTTCCTGAAAAAATAGTCTGCCTCATCACTTATGATTAAATAGTCCCATCCAGAGGAATCACCTTCTTGCCATTGAAAATCACAAAAGATAGTCTAGACAAATTTACACAGAGTGCTGTACTTCATTTGTGGCCCAAGAACTCCAGAGACATGATATCAATATCACCCTAAGTGAAAACTGATGAAATGGAAATGTTTACATTTCCCAAAGCATACAGAAGCCCAAGGTATACAGAAGTGACCATATTTTCTTCTACAAGTGAAAATCAGAGGAAGAATGTCAGATTCATGGAGCTCAGTTTGTCATCAAGCATGAATCATCAGCCACATTCATGAGTTACCTGTTGGAATCAGTGTATGCCCCTTAATAATAATAATAAACTTTATTTTATATGCGCATTTAAAGGTGGCTTCTCAAAGCGCTTCCCTTGACTCTTTGTCTCAAATTAACAAGGAGCCATGGTAGGCATCAATACACTGGATATGATTGAATTTGACATTGCCCATATTTAATATCATGCTTAAAACAGGAGTTCATGACTCCTGGACCCCATCTTATCTGTTCAAATATGTTCATCAAATTAGATCTCAAACACCACCTGAAAAGAAAATGAAAGCTCTCTAGGAACCAACCAAAAAGAGGAGAATGCGTTAAGGAAAAACTCTTCATCCTCAATCAAGAACAGAGGAAAGGTATAAGCACTACTTGGGAAGATGTCAAGACAGCACACATGGAGCAGATCCATCACTAAACCATTTGAATTCCAGACTGTAGTCAAACTTTGGTGTGTCATCGTCGACTCTGATGTGACTCTGTTTTCATTATTTCTGATTCTTATAAAGAGCATAAAGCAAAGAGCATGGAGTAACTTTAGTCAAACTCCAGTATGGTGATGATGCTATAGTATGTGCTTTGACAGAAATGGATCTCCAGACAAATGTCAGCAATATTCATTAAGGTATATGAAAATTAAGAAGACCAAAATTCTCAGCAAGTGCAAAATTCACACACCTTAGTGACATTGATTTTGATTCACCATGAGTCTCTGAAGAATTAGAGCATTTCTTATACCTTGTGATTTAAGTTTCACAGATGACTGATATTGATAAAAAACACCCAGCATCACCTGAAATCTGCAAATGCAGCCTTCAGCTCTTGAGTTTTTGGGAAAACTGAAAACAAACTCATTCTCTACCATGCAGTCACCATTCTTACTTTATCGTAGGGAGCTGAATAATGAACAACATTAAGGAGACTCATAAAATAATTAGACTTGTAGATTGTAGATACATAAAGATTTTATGTATTAAATGAGAGGAGAGACTCATGAGCATCAGTGCTCTCACCTGCGCCGGCACTAACAAGCATTGAAATATCACCATTCACTATCAGCTCTGTTGGGTTTGTAATGTCATTTGGATGTCAGACTTTGGGCTCCCAAAGAAGGTTCTCTTCTTTTGATCGTAGCCATGGCAGTCACACCAGAAGAAGAATTTCAGAGGTACATTAAAATAATATATGAAGAAAACATCCTACAATCTGAAGGACAGCAAATGATTGCATGAATGGGTCTTCATTAAACAGTATAACAGTATAATTTTGTATCCAAAAAATGTATTGCAAAATGTAAATAGTTCACCAAAGGAAATGCTTTATTTGAAATGTGCTGTATAATGGTTTCATAATCCCTTTGTAACAGCTAAGTGAAACGTTATAATCACATGTACAACACTTTACAGGGAATTATGAAGCCATTCTACAGCCTCATTCAAATAAAGCATTACTGGAGTGTTGTTGTGTTTTATTGATTTTGTTTTTTAACATTCATGGGTACCAGATTTGCTTATTTGTGAAAATTAGGTGAGAATTTTCTGTCCAAGATATTAGAAGGCAGTGCTCTTTTTTCATTCATGTGATATAGTTTCCAAGTTACTTCCTGCAGATGTAGTGAAAACCATCTTAGAAAACTACCAAAGCAAATAACTGAGATAATTAGTCTGTTAATGGTTTTAAACCTATAATTCAAAAGTGTCAGTCCATGTTTTTATTTGATAAATGTCTATACATACACTAGAAGGTTATGTTTTTGCCAAAGTTCTGTTCTGTAAGTAGGGACACTGATCGGCTTCATTCAGTTGCAGCCTTTGTTTTATTATAATGAATCTGAAGACTTAATGGATACAGAACATATGCTAGACAAAACATTCCATCTGCTTTATTATACCAGTAATTGCTTTTTGAAGTGACAGTGCCCTGTTGCATAATTCATTAATTGGATTTACTATAATCAAGAATCACAATGACTAGCACAATATTAGGAATGAAACAACTTGCTTATTAATATTTTTACTATTATTTTGTTGAAATACCTAACTGTACTCAATATTGTCCAATAGTGCCATTGGACACAGCTTGTTATAAATCAGCATTATTTGTTCTTAATAATTTGATCTTATTACAATGTTTTTGACACAAGTAGATGGGCCATCATTCATCACCTCCTTGGTGATCTAATCTTCAAGCAGCATATGGAGATGATGTTTCATGAGAAATCATGTTTAAATCGATGATGACTTTCAGAATTGTATTATTAATTGAAATTGACATAGCAAAAAGCAAAAGGTTCCAGGATGTGTTTTTTGATCAGCAAACAAATACATGTTCGATAAATGCCTACATCCTCACACATTTTACCTATATGCCTCTAGGTATTGCACAGGTACAACAATGGCATTTTCCTTAACATTACATCAGATTTTTTTTTTAAATGTGACAAAAATACAAATGCATATAATTTTAGTTCAGAGTGCCTTAATACCAGAGGCAGAAGTCACATGTAAAAGGCAGTGGGTTGTAATTTGTTGTACTGATGTATATTCACCCGATTATCTGTTGTCTGTAATTCACATTGTTATCATGTATACTTTATTCTATGAAAGTCATTAGGTGTCTGAAGCAGCTTCACTTTTTGTTTCCGTTTTTGCAGATGGTGATGGGTTTCAAGACCACCTGCTGCCTGTTTGTATGGATGATGGCTGTCAGAAAAGTGCAATATACGTCAGCAGCCCAGGGAATAAGGAGGTACTGTATGCAAAAGCTCTGCTTTTAGCAGAAACGTGGAAGGAAACAATTTGTCATATATGACATACAAGGACAAAATCCTTTATTGGCTTGCGACATCTTCTATTTGACATCGTGATGTTGTTTTGTAAAACTACCTGTCTGTAAGTGCTCTTGTGCATAAATGTTGCTGATCGGAGGTGTTGTTTATTTACTGAAGTGCCTCATCACTGCAAAGAGGGTTTCGTGTTTTTTGGGGGGGTACTCAGTGACCCTCAAATTGGTATTCTTTTTTTAAGTAGAATATTTGTGTTGAGTCATTTTTTTTATATATATATACACTTGGTTTCCAAGGTGAATTTTTGCATACAATTGTAATTGGCAGGTCTTTACACAAACCGTGTCATAGTCATATTTTGTGCAGAAGGTAAAACGGATAGAAAAGAAGCATATTTTGCAGGAGATAAACAAAGTAAGACTTTTTTAGGAAAAATTGCTGGCTTGTTTCCAACATTATCCTGAAGGGGTTTACAAATCAGATAGGTCTTACAACTTGTGACTGCATAGCCACTTTTTGAAACAAACTGTAGAAACTCTATACTTTTGACACTAGAATTTAACACCGTTCTGTTTTACTTTTCATATATTTATGCGGTATCGCATAAAACAAAATTCAGATATTACAGTGAATATTTGTCATGTGATGGTTAAATGTCCAATAAATGAGAAGCATCTCCAGCTGCAATTGTGAAGATTAGAGAAAGCCTTAGATACAGTATATCCTGTTTTAGAAGAATATGTGTGATCATATTTGTATTTTACAAGTATAATGTTTTCATTAAATGTAAATCCCATTTATATGGATAAGCTTTGAACAATACTCTTTACAACCCGTGTTCAAAGGAGTTCTGTTTAGGTAACCAGTTGCAATATTAGTAATGTATATCTGCCAGGATTTGGGCTGAAAGCAGACATGTTAATGTGCTTGTTATGCACAGAACAGCCCGTAAGGGAAATGCACATACAGCAGAAGCATATGGTTTGCTTGCTGTAATATATCTGGAGGAAAGTCCACCCATAATTCTTTGTTGAGCCATAGACTTTATGCAATTGCTAAAAATTGCATGAGAAGGCTTGAATGCTACATAGTGTACATGGAGAAGGAAGAACATGTGATATTGTTGGGCATTTCTGGAATTCCTCATCCAACATGTAGAAATTTGTTCAATTTTAATGTAGCGTACAGTATGAGATGTTAATTTTCACACACTTGACAATAATTGCTATCTGTCTTTTTTAGTACTTAATTTGTTTAGTATTTGATCCATGAAAAAATGCTAGTCTTTGCAGTAAATAACTAGTGGTCTCATACTTACACATGTGTGCTTTCCATTTTTAGTCACGATGTCTTAAAACAGTGAAACATATCTGTCTCCTTCCATGGTGTTCCACAATCCAAGCAATTTCTTAGGTCTCTTAGGTCTGTAGCACGTTGACACCACAGGTAAGGGTTAAATTGGTTTCATAAAGGCCAGTTATTGAGTTAAATTGTTATTAATAGTCAGACTAAGACTAAACCACCAGAACTAGACCTATGCATTGTTCCCTGCCTGCACATGTATACTGAGTAAAACACGCTACTGCACAAATTCAAGTACAAATGGCATACCCAAACTGAAATAATCACAGGCAGTGTTGTTTTGATAAGTGCATATGTAGAAGACGAATGATCATATGAGCACTGAAGCTTTCGAAATGGCCATTATCATCTCAGTAACTGACTTCTCAAAGCATCATTCACAGTGGGATCAGTTATGGTTGATTCAGTTCTTTATATGGAGAGCTCAATGTCTTCTTTTCAGGGGGAAAATCTTCTGTACAAACCTTCCATTTACCTTTTAAACGTTGGTTTCAGCCAGGAAAAGAAACCAGGCAGTAAGGAAAGGATGTATTCATGAGTTCTGACACTTACAGGTGCCTTCAAGGTTGAGAGAGGTTTGTCACAGTGATAGGTGATGATCTTCATGCATTTTCACTGTCTCAACAGTGTCACCTGCACCCCCTGCTACTTTTAATGAGGCATTTGCGTTATTTACACTCTGAGTTCAGGAGCATCTGTAGAGCAAAAGAATTGCCATGTTAGTGCTGAATGAGCTGACAGCACCTTCATTCATTTTGCGGAATGATTCAGCTGAACATTAGCCAAGTGTCAAAGGTTGACATGCAAAATCTTTGAGTAGTCTTGGAGTTTGTCCTAATCCACTTTTTTTCTGTTTTGTGAAAACAACAGCTGCCAAGTTTCACAGAGCATTTTTCGATCCATGAATTCACCAAGAATATCACACTCAGTTTTATTCAGTTGTCAGTAAAGCTGCCTCTGTCAGTGAAACATTGTGTGCTGTTGGGTGTCACTGATAAATAAATAAGTAAGTCGCATTAAAGTGAATAGGTTGAAAACAATGCTTCACTGATAGAGGAAGCCCTTCTGACAACTGTCAGTCACAGTATGATGAGTCTGTCCTGAAACCACAACAGTGGATCCCGTTAACAAGTCGCAGAGTGTAAATTGCCACTGCAGACATTGTTTAACTCAATTATGTCCCAAGAAAGCACAAAGTCTGACCCAGCCACTAAATCTTTATGTGCACAAACACTGCATCCATTTCGTGTTTGAATTTATGCCTCTGTCCCCCCTCTTTCACCACCCCACTAACAAACAAAACTTATCAGTGCCAGATGCAGCATTACAGTTAATGTGTGCAGTGTGTACTGCTCTCAATCACTGGTTCAGCCCTTTATCTCAATGTTGAATGCATAGAGAATAAAAACAGAAAAAGCTTTGGCTTCTTAACTAACTAAGGTTCTTCAATTTTCAAAAATATTTTTGCAGAATGTTTCAACTCTTCTTTTTTACTGTAAATACCTCCAATAAGTATATATAATAGGGAAGATACTTTATTAATTTATTAAACATAATTTATAATTTAGTTGTTAATTTTAAAGTAGAAGAGATGTAAAATGCGCTGGAGCAGTATCCTCAAATCCAAGCCCCTCAAAGGAATATATCTCATTATATCCATTCAGCAGTTCTCTTCAAGACATAATCTGCACCATCTAGTACACGTGAGGGTAATTCAGAGTTCATTAGGTTTCCATATTACTCTACTTCATTTATTATTATTTATTTGCAACAAAATACCAGCAAAGAAAAAAGGATAATTCCAGTGTTGATTGTTCATGCAAACTAAGGTAGACTACACCTTTAGTGTGGTTTTCATGTCATACTGAAAGGAGTTTGAATAATGGCATTTAAATTAATCTTTTGTTCACAAACACTCTAGTTATGACTGTTTTTGTGCTAAACTCCTGCACTGTTGGTTCAAACTGGATTCAAAAGTATGTACAATACCTTTCTGCCATTGGTATGAAGGAGGCAGGACTAAGTCAGTGCACATTTACTGACTCTCTGGGGTGTTCACAGCCAGCAATTTATAACCTGGGAAGATGCTACAGCCAGACATAGTCCATGAATGACAAACCATGATTTAGGAGACTGTGAATGATAATATCTCAGCAAGAAAGAAGGAGAGGTCAAAATATGATATTTTGGGTAGGAATGTCTAATTGCTGCAGATGTCAATCTGTAACTATTGATGACAACCTGAGTGCACAGAATTACAAGCCTTTTCTCCGGGCTGATTCTGATTTGACAGTATTTCAGCAGGATAATGGTTGTGTGGCAGCAGATAGTTATCCCGTGGATACCCTACTTGCTAGAATTGAGCTCCACTGAACATTTGTGGGATGAGTTTGGAAGATTTGGCATCTAACTATGTGGCTATGTGAGGGAACAGGACAGAATACCATAAAATAACATGAGCATCCTGCTGCAAAGCATGGGTTGCAGATAAACAGCTTAAGTGGCTTCTTCTTATTTCCTTCTTCTTCCTCCTCCTCTTCATGGCCACATACCCTGATAGGCTGTGACTTTAACAGTAGACACACAGTGTGAATGCTGTTAATCACCATAATGAATTTAATTTGGTCATGTCTCTTCAATAAAATGTTAGAAAACATGGTACCAAAAATATATATAATTGTTATTCTCCTGAAAACCTTATATGAGTTTTTTTTTTTTTTTACATTTAGAACCAATGTTTCTTCTGATGCTTGGTATATAATCATAATAAAATGAGAAGCAAAATTAGCCAAAAGACTATAAAGGCAGAAATCAACTTGGAAATTAGCAGTTTTCTTACTTATCAGTGCATTCATAAATGATCTCCCTGAGTGTGCAGACCTAAATTTATTGATATAATGTAATTCTTTGTAACGTTGCATTTCTGTGTTCTGAAAATTTAATTTCTCAGACTAATGAAGCATGTTTTATTTTGCGTAGAATCAATAAAATTTAGATTTGCTTGCATTATTATGTTTCGGTTTAATAAACAATTGAATGAAAAAAGTTGAAAGTAAAACACTTTATTAGAGATTGTAAACATCTATTTGGATGCCGATGAAAAATGTTTATATGTATATAAATTAAAGAACTCCTGCTGATCAACTGAGACACTGTTAGCTTGCATTTGCCAACTTGTTTAGCAGGTGTGTGTTTAGAATTAGATGTTTTAATGTTCACAATCTGATTTATTGTGTTTTCAGAGGAAATTAATGCAACACCTTGTTTAAATTTGATGTTTTTTTAATTTTACACAACTTCAGGGATATAGTTCTGATCTGTGAAATATTCAAGTGTGTTGCATAATACACTTAACGTGATGGTTCATACCCAAAGTGAATAATTTTAATTGCATTATCTTGTAATGGTTAGTTGTGCTAGTCTTATACTGGAGTCTTTTAGTCTAGCCATAAAAATTTACCCTCACAGACTATATAGAACATCTCAAGGTTATTGTATTTTGTATCACTAAAGCAGTACTGTGCAAGTTGGAGGTTGAATGTGTTTCACTGAATAGCCATTTAAAACATACATACTGTAGGTACTGTCACTTAAATACTAT